TGGCAAATGCCAGATGTAACAATCTCCACCAGAATCTCGTCTGGCTGGAGGTCCACGATTACAATATCTTCCAGACTCAACGACTTTGGTTCTGATCGGACGACCAATGCCTGCGTCGAAAGTGGTTGCGACATCCTTCAGGAGTAGGATGGGGGTGTTGAAAACCCGTAAAGTGACAATAAAAGTGAATCTGAGTTATCAAGTGCAGATTGTCGTAATAGCTGCTGAAATTGAAGCATCACTGAGTCCCAACAAAACAGTGTGCGATTTATAAAGAGTTGGTCGCAAGGTAGCAGTACGGATTTCGGACCAGGATTCGAGTTGAGATTCGACATCCGGGGCAGGAACCGGCTCCGATGCTAACGTACCCGGAGGAAGAAGGGACAAGAGAAAACGAACGCGAGTTAGAAATGCAGATAGAGATTTAGTCCCGGGAGTCCAGCTGTGGGTATTTTTTCAACGCCAAGTATGATGCGCAATTGCTCTTCATGTAAGGTTAATTCTGGCATAGGGCTAATACTATCTGACATGATGCTCTATAGATGCGGTTCACCAACGTTATCTGTGCCAACATTGTGGGACTGGATTAGGTCACTGATGTTGAAAAGAAAGAACGGATTTAGATTGAATCACGAAGGCATAACGAGTTTTAATCTTATACATAAGAAAGTCAGTAAAGTTCGACATGAATCTTGTTGGGGGCACCATGACGCACAGAAAATTGCACGCGCCGCGTGATACTCAACAGGTACTTCTGTGCTGTACAAACATAGCCTATCAAGGAATAATGTTCGCCGCTCGCATACGATCAAACGCCAGATACCAGGAGCTCCTAATGTCCATCTCCTCGGTGACACTGCCCCAGACCCGATGCATCTCCGATACATCCAGCTGCCGGTCGAAGTCAAGCATGCTGAAGATGACCTGCGACACAAACTCCCCGGAGGCGGGGCCCTCATCCGTGACGAAGTGACCTCCAGACAGGCCTTGTCGCTTCTCTACTTCAACCCATGCTGCGCGATTCTCCACGAAAAATTGCCCGGGATCGGGCCCAGGGCCGTCTCCCCCGTTCGGGCCCACACCATGAAGCCCAAAATATTCGCAGAGTATTGGCCACCGCTCCGCCCAGGTTGTGGGACGGACAGTATCCGCGGTATTGAACAGCCGCCCGTTCCCGGACTCCTCTGGATGCAGGCTCGCGTATATGGCGAATCGCGCAACGATGTCCTGGCTGCATTCACTGTTCTGCGCCCCCCACGCCGTCGCCGTCCCGGGGAAGGCGACCGTCGCACCGGTCCCGTGAATCTCGCAGTATAGGCTGAGATAGACGGCGAGCAGCTTGGCCATCGAGCGGAAGCTGTGCGGCGCATACCCCACCACCCCGTCGGGGATGACGCCGCCGTAGGTCCACAACTTTCCGGCGGAAAGGCGCTTCAACAGATCCAGTTGGTGGAAGTAGAAAAACCCATCGTCGAAGGGCGCCGGAAAGCAGACTTGTGTCTCCCGCAGAGGGAGCTCGCTTTCCTGAGCGAAACTGCTGACGCGCTGCAGGCCGTATATCTGAGGAAAATCGTGTCGCGGGACATGTTGTTAGTGCGACGGAGAAAAAGCATTTCGTTGTTCAAGATGGCTCTTGCATACGACATACCTTGACACCCATGGTCATCATCACGAATCGCAACTTTGGGCTCAGAGCCTCAACGGCTGAGATTGCCCTCTTAAGCAGTTCTGTGTTGGTCGTGGTTTCAGCCTCCATATCAGGTCCCTCGAGGTACGCGCAGAAGAAGACGGTTGTAATGGACTCCACGTCTGGCACGCTGGCACTGATTCGGGCGTTGAGCTCTTCCTGTGTCCCTTGGAGCAAGTTCAATCCCTGGACATGTTGCAACTTGGGCGAAGACGGCCACTGTAAGACCTGATGCTGTATGGGTCGGTTGCTCAGCGCCGTAACGCGATCGAAGGCTGCGGGCTCGGGGTAATCATTAAGCAGGGCATTCACAACCGCCCATCCCGTGATCCCGGAGGCTCCGAAGATAAGGGCATGACTTCGGCATGCGGGTTGGACATTCTCGACAAAGGTCATATTGAATGGTTCCAAAAAGGGTCTTTTTGGGGGGGGGGGGGGGGGAGGTTCAATCTGCAGAAGATATGCTTGCACGGGTAAATAACTGAGAGAATTCGGTGAGTGTGCAGGATACTAATGAAGTATTTGACCCCTGGCTGAGGGAGTCGACAATCAGCTCGCTGCTGCTAGTGTGGGTGCATTACATTAGACAATTTTGGATGCATTGTTGTTCTGTGTCTGCACTGCCGGGTCTCTTGCTCCCGGCGGTCGGAAAGCCCAGGTTGGAAGACGGTAGTGATATCTTCAAACTCTAGTCAATCACAGACAATTCCCTAATTATTGTCTTGTAGTACTCTTTCTCTTCTTGACCGTCGCTTTTGTTGAATGGTAATCAAGTAACGTGTTTGTCAAGGACCTGGGATTATGGATGAAGTCAAACTACGCCCGACTATCTGAGAAATTCATCTAGGCAGCAGGGTCGTCAAAAATCTGATTTTCTATCATATCTAAAAATACTTAGTGGAATAGAGTAAAAAAGCAGTATGAATAAATAATCTGTTATTTGAAGCTAAGATGCAAGATATAAGAAGCCCATATGGCAATCTATCCAGATTATAGGAAAAGTCCTACTAAATAAAGTTGTTGACTGGGAAAAGATTGAACCGGTAACAATTTTTCTCTTTTAAAGTAAGCTCGAATTAGTCAAGAGAAGTAATAGTAAACTATTCTTGTTTATATATCTTCCCAAGTTTTTCTCATAAGGTGTTTTTCAGTAACAGCCAAATCAAAATGATTTTTTAGCAATAAATCGACAATGGTATTCAAATCTAATTTTTTTGTAATAGATTCGAATGCTGTCTCTGCAGTAGGCAGCGGTATTCGATGCTGCATATATGCGGATAAAGTTGGCAATCTTTCCAGTATCTTGTCCGAGATATTAAAATTAGCATGTGAGATAAGAACATTTGCTGCTTAAGCCAGAATGTATCAACTTTAGGGCTTTGCCATAGTGCTTTTCTGACTATATTAAAATTAAGATCATAATCTTGTGCCAACAGCAACTCTGCAGATTCAACTTTTTGATTCTAAATAGCATATACCAAGATATTTTCTGTAATTGGAACTGCTTCTGGTTCCAGGCGAGTTAGAAGTAAGCTTATGACGAGGCTTGGGTGCTTTCCCACGGAACTGAGCCTTGGTGCCTAAGGTGCCAGCGCACCGCCCACGCGGCTGCCTTAGCTAGTTCTTCAAGATAGCCTCACATAAGAGAATCAATCCTTCTTCACCTCTCCGAGAGGCGTTGTCGCCATCAACGAAGCTTTGATTACCTCTTCCGAGATTCAGACTTCATTTCTTTGTCTGTGAAGTAGAATGCTCATCGAACAGACGTCTCTTGCCGTGTTGGCGACTATCTCTGGTGTCACTGAAAAATAAATCCGAATTCTGTTTATAGATGAGCTTCAGCACCCTCCCTGTGCGTTCTGGGTTGGTTATCATATTGTAGAGCATCGCTATTATTGTAGAACAGTCGCGCTGCCGACCCAGTAGTAAACCTAAAGCGCCGGGGTGACAACATACCGCTTCGAATAGTCGATTGGACACAGGGGTTTCGGGCCATCTTTTTAGGATAAATCAGAGTACGGAGCCTGCCCGGGGGATTTCTGTAATTGATATAAATGTATTCTCCAAGAAAAGAAGATTGTGAACTTGAAGGTCAAAGAGGTACCCCATTAAGGCTCTGCTATGACGGGTATTCTTTGCTACACACTTTAAAGTTCTTTCTGTGATGGGAAGATTGAGATGAGAGCTATTAAAATTATTTACCAAAAGCCCCAGTATTTCCCGATTATAGGACTTGGCAGTATTGTATAATATTTGCTCGGTAATCACAAATCTTATCTACTGTTTATATAGAAGTATTGTTATTATATCCAAGCCTTCAGCTCTGTTGCGTATAATTGCCTGTATATTTTTTTTATTAATAATAGTAGCTTACTTTCATTTGTCGAATATTAAGTGTATAATTTTATAGTCGTTTGCTGTATTTACTACAGCGGCTAAAAGAATCTTTTTATTCATTAGTTATTTTTGGCAATTTGAGCCCGGACAAAAGTACAGTACATGGACATTTGCTCCATGGGAGCAGATCCCATGGAATGATCTTGCAGGTATCAGATATCTGTAAATCTCACCACCATTTTCCACTCCCCTTCCACTTCGGCATCATCTCTCTGCCAAGTCCAGAGATTTCCGAACGCAGAAGGGTTAGACAGATCAGTCGGGTCGGGCCGCAAACTTCGGTCGGGGACTACGCGCAGTTGGGCCGCCACGGCTACTTCACTGCCACTCATTCCACTCTATGCTTGTCATATATGCGGTGAGACGTCGTACCATTATAATCATCGGAATCCCCGTGATGTCTTTGACGAAGAACAGTACACGCCACAAGCGAAAGAGGAGTGACTTCCACCGCTCGTCCACTTGAACATGTACAGAACACATCTCAACCAGAGATTCCGGGGCCGAGCCTCGATACAGAACTGTCCGACTGGAAAAGGTGCGAGGTCAGAGGATAGGTCGCCCAAAATCAGATGTCTATGACTTGCTGGGAAGATGCATACCCAGAGATTCCGGCTCTCCACTACATAGTGTGACCAAATGAGGTGCAATGCCCTTCGCGCTGCGCCAAACCTTCTACGAAGCCGTTGAACGGTACCCTCGGCTACTTCAAGTTGTATGCCAAGTCTAGGTGTAGGGACTGCTCCGCCGCCTTTGCCATATAGAGATCTGTGGTGTGGTGATTTCACTGCTGCCGCTCACCGCCCACCTCGGTGGCCTCAACTGGTTCCTCGCAGGTAGCCTCACGTAGGGGGAATTCAAGCATCTTCCACCTCTCTCGCAGGTGTCATCCGATTCTGAAATTATGATGCATACGCAAAAACGTAGTCCCCTTATAGGGTTCTACCCCTACCCTGTGAATTCCAACAAACTCAATAAAGCTGCAATCCTGTTAAGAGGCTTGTGTCTCATGATTCAACTAGCCTTGGTGATCTTTCATCTAGTTTTTAAGATTTAGGGAAAGAGGAATTCCAGCCTGGAGTACTATTTACAAGACATGACGTGACTATGCACTCACCCAGTGCACATTGTACCTTCCGCCAGCGCTCACTTCTACAGCAGTAATGACGCAACTGACGCAATGCCGACATTCATGACTCTTTACAAAATCTTTCATCTTCATGTTTCTCAGCATCGTTACTCTCACGCAGTGCAAACGTATCCGAGCTCCCTTACCTCGATCCAAAATGTCCGACTCACCAGACGGTCCCTCCATAAGGGAAGAAGGGCGCTCTCAATGTTCTCAGGACGAAGAAAACTCACTGCCGTCCCATGCGCCTACCGTATTTCACACTCCGGAGACCCTGGAGATGATCCTGCTAGACCTGAATATGCTCACATTGCTGATTTCACGTCGCGTCTGCCACACGTGGAACGAAATTATCAAGTCCTCGCTCAGAATTCAACAGGCGTTATTCTATAGCCCACTTGAGAGCAAGCCACCAGACCAACAAGCTATGAAGAATCCGCTCGTGGTTGACAAGATATGGTTCGACTTTCTCAGAAAAGAACTTGACTCACGGTTCAGAGTCTTCGTTCCTCTCGGCGGGGGAAATCGCCGGATTCCCCGCATCGCGTCCGAAAAAAAGGAGAAGGCGTATATGCGTGCCGAGGCGAGTTGGAGACGGATGCTTCTCCAACAGCCTTCAACGGATGTTGTTCGTTTCTGGAACCCGAAAAGCCCCAACATTCCCATTGGGTGGTTTGCTGATATGGCCGATACCCACGCCAAATGGATGCCTAATAAAGATCACATTCGTATGGAGAGCGTGGCATATTGGATAGACACTGGGGCGCTTTCACCGGGACCTCTCCCATTTCTATGCTGGGATGATCCAATTATCATGGGGAAAGCTGGAGGCCGCCGGAGATTGGCTCGAGATTCCATTCTTTCTGGACACCTACTCCGGTTTGATCTCACTATCAACACCGAATCTTACGGATCAGGAGTATGGTGGGGCTCTGCAAATACTCCAGTAAAGCCTTCGACATTGAATATCTGGAGTCACAGAGAAGAAGTCCAACTGCTGCAAGGAGAGCCAGCGTAAGCTTTGGAATTTGATAGAGTTGATATGCTATGCGGGTGTTCGTTCCTTCCTATCCTGGAACACTTAAGCCAAATGGCTGGACAATTTCGCCGATGCGCTTGTCCCGGATTCTGGGCTATATGGGTAAAGGCACTCTATAATTAATGAGGCGTGTCTAATTATATCCTAGGGTCTGTTCAGCTGTCGAGAAAATTCGCCGAGATGAAAAAGCTCACTTGCTACGGAGTCCTTACCGACTCTGAACAGTTCCATTTTGTTGTGCTGAACGAAAGAAGTCAGGTCCGAACCCTCTCCCGTTGCGCTGACAGATTGGGCTCCCGAATTAAAGAATCCTAGCACTCGGTCATTATATACAGGTGGAAGGCGGGCCAAAGAGCCCAGATCTGGGATACCTTGTGGTGGATGGCGGAGTCCGCCAGCTTTCAATCTCGCGAAACGTCGGAGGTGAGTGGCTGATACTGGCCAACGACCTCTCAAAAGGTTGGGCGTAGCCCCGGGGTGCATTGCACAGCGCATCCTGGTTGGCCAGTATCAGCCTTCACGGTAACGTCGGTCGTCTGTCTGTCTGCAGAATTGCTGGGTCGCTGTTTTTTATTTGTCATGAAATGTCGTTTGTGCGCTGTACTATTTTTGTGCTTTGTTTTCTTAAATATGCTGCGTTGACAATACCAATCTTGTCGAACAAGCTCAATGTTTCCAGCCAGTGTTGCAGCATCCGGCTTAGATCGCCTGAGTCAGTATTAAATAGTCACCCGGGACTCTGACAATTTGAGCCCACTGGACAAGTGGTTGCAGACAAGTGCTTCATCTCTAAACACCTAATGAGTGAAAAAGACATTGGTTGGTAGCTTCAATGGAAACTTCATCGGCCATGCAAGCCTCGATCTCATCTAGTGGGGATGTTATTACCGCCTCGATATGAAAGTCTGTCTACAGAGTATTGCTCGGCCAGACGAAAAGTCATGCATCTTATGCGCCGGCTGATATTGAAAACTTTGTGAGCATATCTGCACCGCCAGCTAAGTGACAGGCCCGGGACTGGCATGAGGAAATCCATACCTAGGTACTGGAGCCACAGAGGCCCGACCTCGGAACCCAAACAGCCTTCCCCATTGGGTTAGGTCGGCATCAGCGGGCCAGATGAGACCGGGGCTGTGGTACCGACGCTCGTTTCGCATTCAGGACTTCAGTATGATGTGAGCCTCCTCCGCAAATGGGTCCTACAGGATGGAATAGGTACCGGCACATCGGAAAGTCATCACCAGGTCTCCACTGAGGATCGTAAAGGACCATACCGACTACACAATTGATTCTCCGGTGATATGCATCGTACTCATAACTGAACTCTGAATAGTGGATCAGCTGAAGATTGCACCAGCGGAATTGATATCCATCTTCCTCTACGCCAATTCTGTCACTCCGGTGGCTTGCAGGATGTCACGACATGATTCTGTCCGGGCCAGCCGATCAAGGGAAGGGATCGTCTAGGCTTACCTGTCAGAATTGCACCGCCTGGAAAATCCCCCATGTCTTTCAAACTGCTTAATGACCATGTTTCACCTGTGTTCCCACCCCCACCAAGGAAATCTCGAGAAATTAGTGTGGCTCTGCACAAATCGATGATTCCAGCATAGGAGGAAGCCTCCACCAAGGGCCGTGCTTTCGCCCCGGCGGTGCGGTACCGAGTAGATTCAGCTGAAGATCTCAGCCCCAGGTATCCACACTATGGAGAAGGGAGCCTGGAACAGAGTGGGTCGTGCGACAAGATGGATTATGATCGGACACTGTACCACATGCTGTGGGTAGGGCTTATTACTGAACATAGGATCCACTGTTCGACACCGCTAGGAACCCTCACAGCTCCCGAGGCACTTATAAACAGGTACTCTGCCCCCTCCAAGTCGTTTTGCTAATGCATCCATCTACAGGCGCATCTCTCTCCATTTAGCAAGCGAATTAAGTGGCTTCTCTACAAAAATGTCTTCTTTGAAGGTAAGTTGTTCCTCGATCTCAATCAAATTTGGCCCTAGGACGGTGGTTTTGACATAAGCCGTCCGGGCAGCAAACACTTAGCGAGTACCATCCTGAAACAAAGGAGTTGGACGCATGGATAAATGAAACTTTTATCTTAATGAGGCAATATTTCGACGGGCTAGAGGTGCTGAGGTACGTTGCTTTTTATCATCTTTTTATCTCTCTCTCTCTCTCTCTGTGTATCTTCTTTGTTTTGGGGGGAGGGGGTGTCATCCCCGGGCTTTTGCAAAAGAGTATACCACTAATCTTTTTTGATTTGCCATAGACACAATGTAGATTGGCGGGCCATTGCATACCACGCCATGTTCATCTGTGGCTGGTGCGATCGTTTTGATATGACCGATGCCAAGTCCACTATGCAACAGGTTCAGGCCAAGTGCATTGAGTTCGGTCAAGCCCACGACATATTTACGAACCGGCAAATGGAAGCATGGCCAGCCTTTGAGAAGGCCTTCTCCCAGGAGAAGGAGTTGGAGTCCCTACGGACCGCATTCAGCATATTGGCGGGGCCCCGAGCGAAGCAGCTCGGCCCTCAGATCGTCGGGCATATGCTGGAACGTGTATCCGATACAACAACAGAAAAGCTGATCGACATGATGGTCGACCAAATGTTGATCAGTAAGGCAACCATTAGCCTCGTCAGCTTCGGCCTTGGATGAGGTTTGATCGGAAACGGTGATTCGGAAGGTGTTGATCTCTCTGCATCCTGCGGTCGGTGGATCGGAAAGGTCTACGTTCAGGAGGGCGGACAATTATTGGAACTAGGATTGATTGAAGATGTCGACTATACATGGTTACAATGGCGATCATGGTTGGATTTGATTGCTGTTGTAGCTTAATTTGTCGGTGGACAACACTCTGACGATTTATTCGTCTACCCTATGTGGCCTGTTGCAGGAGGCTGACTCCAAGCAGAGTCCTGGAGTATAGACGGTTTTCAAATCTACAACTAGACCTCGGCAGAGTCTCCGACGAAATTTGCCAAAGTCTACCCTTGCTAGAGACCAATCTACTTAAATGAAAGCATGGTCATGAGTTCTGCGTGTTGGACCCCTCAAGTTAGGTACATATGGGCAACGGCCTTCCTGTCCTGCTTAGGGCTCCGTTGGGAGGAGGCGGCAGGTGTTGCACGTGACGGTACTAACGCATACCCTTATAGTGGCATCAGAAATTGAGAGGCATGCAATCGGTAATGTAGTCACCTCAAACCCAGGTTGATAATTTTTGTCAGTTTTGGAACAATTTTTGGAAGTTTACACAACTTGTAAAATTCGTGGCGAAGGAGGGTAGCACCTATGAAAGAATGCTGTAGGGAAGCTAACCCCTGGGCGACGACCGGTAGTTGTAGTGCCGCGTCTCGGTCACGACCTCCGTGGATGAGAGAGTGGTGGAGGCTGAGCTGAGGCTTTAGTTCAGGAAGTCCTGTAAGGTGCTGTAAGGTACTGTATATAGCACCAGCGCAGCCGTATGTATGCACGCTTTGCCAGGAACCCATGAAGTCATGAGCACCTGCTTCTGAGGTAGTAGTTTAAGTGATAAGTCGATCAGCTATTACAGCTGAGAACTATGAACTGATTCAGAAGCTAGCTCGGTAGTGGTAGTAGCTATATGGTATCTTCTACTGACGATGCTGGTACATACGACCACAGGGTGTGGAAAATAGGGCTTCCCGTCCGCTCAGCCGTACTCAAGCCACACGCCGGGAGGTTAGTAGTTGGGTGGGTGACCACCAGCGAATCCCTTCTGTTGTATGTTTTTGGCATGTTTTTGGTTTTTCTATTCAAAAACACGCCAACACCAGCCATAACCACCATATATTTTCGCGACAGGTCATTCTGGCCTTTTGTCACCGTGGCTTGCAAGCCCTGTGTACATGCGCACAACCTGCGGGTGTCAAGGTTATCACACTCTTGTCAATCTTCTGTAATCTTCGGTTGGCGGTTAATCGAACACTCCTTCCCAGTTACTGAAGTACAATTTAGACTGCAGAGCATACACCGACAAATATCTTTGAGATGCATTGAGCAAAGACAATCACATGACGACATCATTCTCTTGTCCTAAGGAATCATGGAGAAAAAGCCAAATCGCATGGGAATCTCAGCTGTCCTATCTGAGCAATCCAAGTGAAAATGTACTTTCGTCCGCTGAAGTCAGTCTGACACTAATGAATGGGCCCCGCTCTGGTCAAAAAAAGCTGTTCTAGCTGGAGTGATCTAGACTTGTCTCCGGTATGGCGTCGATTGCTATACCTCGGTGGTACTGTTTGCAGTGCCATCTCGGAACCGGGGACCTTACTGTCGCTACTCTGACGTAAGTCTCTTAATCATGACCTTTATCCAGTCAATCGACCATGGCGATGATTGCATGTGAAGAATCCTCGCTCTACCTTGATTGTTCACCAAGATCGCGCAGCTAGAACTGGATCATCACCGACGCAGGAAACTGAGCTATTAGATCGATCGATGGATGCGCCTCAAAGCGTTATCGACGTAAGAATTACCCCCCCCCCCCCGTCAACTTGTCAGGATTCTCAGAATCCAGAGCCGGCGACCCATGGCGTTTGATGCATTCGGTAGTGACATAATTGACCATCGAGCTGGAACAGAGAGGATTGGAGTAACCAGGAACCATATTCCCGCCTGCAGTCGAAGCGGATGTCCGTGGACATGTTTGCGTATAGTATACTACTCTAGCAAGCTAAAGTAGACATTCAACCAATGTCTAGCATCAGCATCATGACCTCACTTCGAACGGTCCCAAATATCTCTCGTCTTGGAACTACACGGAACTACCAAACGCAGAAGATCCAGATGGCCGTGTTGCTCCGAAAGGCCTTCAGAGGTGGCATGGGTCTCCACATGACCCAACGCATCGCTCCATGCCGTGACATCTGCCAGCAACCGTACCAGCGACGCTCTAGTGGACTCTAGACATCTCCGTGGGGCTATCACGGTGAATCCGTAGCCTAGGACTCGCCTCCTCGCCGGAAGCATCACTGACCGAGATAGATACAACATCCAGATTATGTCTCAAGCATCCGTTTTCAGTCTCGAGGTTCTTCATTTCCCCAGATCTGCCGTCATGCTGATACAGTGCTACTAGTCTGAGCTAGAATGGCACAGTAGCATGTAGCATCGATCATAGTATCTGCAACGTCATTGACTCCGATAAGTGCAGCAGAGGTCACAGAGCTTCTATCTCAGATATCTAACCTCTAATGCAGGACATCCACATATAAAAGGCACCATGTCAGCGTTGGTAGAACTCACTATCAGCAGAATCAGAAACACGCTAAGACCTTCAACTCTAAGATCAATCGCAAATTTGGAGAAATCCTCTATCAACCTCTTCCAAAATGCCTTCCGCCCCACAGCAGAACGGACCTATTCCAGTCCACAGCAAGGCGGTCCACCACAAGACAACCAAAGGCGGCGAAGACCCCATCAGCAACTGCGATGCCATCTTCGCGGCCGCCAAGACCGGCAACCTCGATGAGATCAAACGCCTGCTGTCGGAGAAGCCTGACCGCCTCAATATGAAATGCGCCGAATGCCACGGGATCACGCCCATCATGGCGGCGGCGATCGCGAACCAACAGCCGGCCGTGGAGCTGCTCTCCGCCCAGGGCGCGGATGTGACCATCCGCGACAGCGACAGCTACACGATCCTCAAGCTGACGCTGGACCAAGGCGAGACGCACATCGGGGTGGCGAACTGGATCGTGGCCCACCACCCGGAGCTGATCGTGACGGACCCGCGCCTCCCGCAGGGCGAGGAGTGGCTGCGGGCGCAGTTCGCCACCATGTCCGACAACATCGAGGACGCGGCCAGCAAGCCGCCCCGTGAGGTCCTCGAGTACCTGGTCAAGGACTACCCGGACAAGCTGCCGGCCGACACGGGCCGCACCGTGGCCGTGGTCTACTGGGAGCATATCCTGCTGCGCTACATCGGCGACATCCCGCTGGACATCGCGCGCAACTACTCGGTCAACCTCAAGATGGCGTTCGTCGGCACCTTCGACCGCATCCTGTACCACCACGAGGGGATCCAGGAGTCGGCCCGCCTGCTGAACAGCGTGCTGCCCACCACCCAGTACAATATCATCGGCACCCATGTCGTCCCCAAGCAGGGCTGGGTGACCGAGCGCTGGGAGTACCATGACAAAGTCCATAACCTGCAGGTGCTCGATGGCATTGACACGTTACTGATCGATGGGAATGCGGGTAAGATCGAGGTTATGCTCATCAACTACAATGTCTACGAGATGGAGTGGGTGGAGGATCCGGAGAAGGGCAAGCCGGGCCCTGGCAAGATCTGTCCTTCTGCGAAGGCTTGATTGGTTTTCGGCTGGCTGTATGCGTAGGTGGTGAAGCTATCTGGTAAATCTGCTTCTGTCGTTTCTTTATGTCTGCATGGTGATTTGGGATCAGGTGCGGTTGTGTCAGAGTGGTTATCTAGAAACGAAGCAAAAAAAAGTAGAAAAAGAAAACTACGTTTTTTTCCGCTTGGATTGATTCTTGCAGCACCTAAGAGTGCGAGTTGATGCTTTTATCATTGAGTTATGCACGTAGAGATTGATAAGATGAAGTTTCAAATGATGGTGCAGGTACCCGTTAGGGCTGGGAAGAGGACCAGCAGCCTATTAAGGCCGGGGATAGGGTTTCACTTAGAGGGATGTCAATACTTTCTAGATATACTATATTCCCCGAGGATAAATACATAGACCAGGCCTCAAGCTTTAGTGGTCCACTCAATTATTTACAGGATTTATATGAGTGATGGATGAGAACGAATCATGTTCTGTCTGCTGGTCAAAGTAATTTCAAGAATCTCTGTACACTATAGATCACGCAGTTGATACTTCCACCAGAGGTCTTTAGAATGATAAAATGAATAAGAGACGCTCTCGCTTGTTGCAAGGGGCCAAAAGAAACGCACAACGTCTAAATGTCCTTAGTGGACCTTTACAGTAGTTCCCCTTGTCGCTACGAACGCCCAACGGCGGCCTTGATCAAATTATAATCATCCCGCCGACAGAGAATGGCTGCCGGCTAGTCAGCGAGCAACCCTGACAGGCACAGGAGGTGTGCCTTAGAGCCACCGACGGTCTTTCAACGCATTCCGCTCTCGCGAAAACGCATTGCGAACAGTGTGCCTTCGTTTTCGTTGATTTTTGTCAAATTAAACAATTGTGGCCGACGGTACGTTAGGGTTCACGACTGTAGTCTAGATGTTCGGGAAGGCTCGGGCCCTCCCGTGAGGCGTCATCCGTCCGGGGTGGGTTTCCGGTAACTTACAATACGGTACCCAGCAGCGGCTTACATAGTTCACTGGTAATTAACAAATAAGTATGTACGTAGTCCAATTCGCTTGCGATGACCTCCAAATTACGAGGGGGTATCTGTCAATTTATCTGCCTGTCGATGAAGGTAGGTACCTGGTCTAAAGAACAGCACTCACAAAAATAATACCATCCAGGACTTAGGCGATCACGAATGGGCCTCGTTTCCAGCTAACCACCGGGGTTTGCTCTCCTCATCATCCACAAGCAAAGCGACATATGAATTCATCGAAAGCTTCGACGTGGCGGAAGATGCGTACCGCTCTCTAGAGAGCGGGTCATATCCAAATCCTTTCAACAGATCAGGATCGCAGTTAGCAAAGTCCGGAGACGTCCATGACATTTCTTTTCTTAGCCTCGACCGCTCCAAGCATGGATTTGAGGTGAGTCTGTGCCAGGTGCCCGCATGGGTGTTGGAATCTGAACTGAATGGAGGCGGCTGTATTATCCAGCTCCAGCTCTTCGGAATCAAGGTGTCCATATCAACCCATTTCAAAAGCTGGCTACCTTCTGCGGCGACGATAGGCTGAGAAAATCTCCAAAGCGTCGCCGCTGCCTTGGGCTGGAAGACATAAATTCTTGTCGTCCAGGGGGATGTGCGTCCAACGAAATGATTCATTGCTCTTGACATACATTTGAACATGAAATGTATTCATGAAGTAGAGTACAGTGCATTAAGATATGGAAAGTTGGTTGCGATGGCATTAAGACTATAGAAAACTCTCTCTTCCTCGATTTTGGATAGCCATAATACACAGGATGTCCCCACGAGCGCAGCACGAGAAATCCCAATGGATATTCACAATACGATCCTCACAGTATCATACCCGTAAACGCATACTTCTTTCCCACAAAATCGCCCTGAGGCAGAGGGGAAGAAGTTGGAACCTGAGAGATTAGCCCCAATACTTTCAACGGCTTCGACTGGAGCTTAGGCAGGGCAAGGCTCGCGCAGCGGTATAGAGACTTGGATCTGTGGTTTCGGGAGTGGAGCCGGTCAGACGCGCTTGGAGGAGAGCCAGATAGTTCTCACCCGGATGGGTCGGTCGAGTGAGCTTGTGAATACTATGCAGCTCGTTATTATGATCGACGAGGCAGTCAACAATCATCTTGACAGCCCCAGTCAATGTGTCGTCAGTTAATTTCCAGAAGTCCAGTGAAAAGCTTATCGAGATCCAGCAAAGCATTGTTGCCATTCAAACTGAGCTAATCTAGCTGAAAGCAGCCAATATGTCTCTGGTACGTGATTCTTACCCTTCCGCGTAGACACATCTGCAAGGTCTCGGTGCCCTACATTATTTCTATCCAACGACGGTCTATCTGGTCAGCCTAACCTCATTGTATTCCATAGGAGAAGATCCGAGAGATCCTTACCAAGTGTATCGAGGATCTGGTGGAGCTGAAGTTTTAAATTAGCTGTCTCGTGGGCCGGTGTTGATGGTATATGCTCACAAAAGCAGCGGATATCACTACACTGGCATTACGGCGAGAGCTGTATTCGGATGAATGGTCATACTATGAGCTAGATGAGCAGATAATGCTTTTTCGCAATGACATCATTTGATGATTCACAGCGGGAGTCGGCAAAGAAGGACATCTGGTTGCTTTTGATTTTCAGAAGAAAAAGGAAGACCTTCCAGAGATAAAAGAAGGAACTGGGCCCAAAAACATACAACAGAAGGGATTCGCTGGTGGTCACCCACCCAACTACTAACCTCCCGGCGTGTGGCTTGAGTACGGCTGAGCGGACGGGAAGCCCTATTTTCCACACCCTGTGGTCGTATGTGAAGGACTCTTCTTATCTTTGCAGAATATCACAGATTGTATCATAATGTGTTGTTACAGCAACATGAACCTATAGGTGGCTAAGATTTGAGTATGGTGTTGAGGACGTGGATACGCGATCGACTCAAACTATGTGAGGCTATCTGAGCTGAACCTTTACAATGGGCGTGGCAGGCGGTGAGCAGCTTGGCCAGAACGCATGGCCACCTTGGGCAAGAGACCAGACTTTTGCAGAGTGGCCCGCTATATCCATCTGTAACCAGGCAAGGCAGGGTGCAACAGGCAAGATTTAGAATGCAAGTAATCGATCGAGCTGATATTGTGGTTCTTTCTAACACAGGAGATCTCTTGGGAATCCAAAATAACAGTACACATCGTCGCAGTATACATACAGATAAAAGCTCATCCAGAACAGAAGTATGGTCAAGAAATAATCAGGTATCCGAGAGGCAGGCAAGTGCCACACCCTGACACGACTGTGCAGCAAGCCAGCGTGCTCGAGAAATCCCAGAGCACCCTGTGAGAAATGGTTCAGAAATAGCATCCATAACGATTCTGAGAACGGCCCAGGTAGTGCTACCGTGACCGCTCTTAAGGCCAGGACCCCCATCATCCTCAAAGCACAGAATAGAGAAAGTCAGAATAGAGAAGATTGACTACCACGGTCTTTCTCAAAGGGTGACAACTGCGGCAAAGATTTTCCCAAACACTTGATGTGTTTAGCTGAACTGACAAACCGAATCAGCTACCAGCTCAAGTATGTTTCCTGTTTCGAGGCCCCGTATTACTACATACCCCACATTCACCTGTGCAGACTCGAATGGATGTAGCTGATTAGGTCGAAGGATTCAGCAAAAAGGTAAGAACCCTATCCTGGTATATATCCATGCAGTGATCATAACGGAGCTGCATATTGGACCTTTCCGAATGGGAGGTGAACAAAACTTATCTGCGTGGAGGCCCATGCTAGCAGACCGGATTAGAAGAAAGGCATAAGACGGTCACTAGAAATAAAATGAATACTTTCGGTGGGGATGCGGAGCATTCACATATGCATTTGATACACAACAGCAGAAGCAATTACTATAACTAACCTAACAGGAACAGGAGCTACTCCCCGAACGGCGCATACCATGGTGTTCTATGTTGCGACAAGGGACGCCCTCCCGCGTCAGAACCTTATTCCGACTGTCCTACTGCTGGGTCACCTGGCGCGACGAACTGATCCAGTGATGAGATCCTGTCAAGGAGCGAATGACTTCAGGTAGGATTGGTTCTGTCACCGGATGTGATGAGCGCCCCCAATGAAACCGAAGGTAATGTGGTACGGGTCCCGGGATTAGGGTTCGGTCCTGCTTTCACAGTCACACAATGCACCACCATCCTTCTGGCGCGTCAACAGGCACACGCATCCATGATAGAGATAAGATATGCTCAGATTGCGCTGTGGGACCCCCTCGTATAAAGAGACATAGACATGAAGAAACCCATTCAGCAACCCCACAACCCTATCAATCTCTACCGATCCTTACCTTACCTACCTCATCCCTCAGAAAATGAAATCCCTCCTCGCACTCCTCCTTTTCCTCTCACAAACCACCGCCCTCGTAACCCCCTGCATCATCGGCGGCACCGAAGTCCCCATCGAAGCCCACCCCTACCAAGTCGCCCTCCTCTACGGGAACGCCCGCACCTGCGGCGGCAGCATCCTCAGCCCCGCGCACATCATCACCGCCGCCCACTGCGTCGCCAGCGCGACCCCGAGCCGCCTCCGCATCCGCGCGGGCTCCGCCCTCTGCGACGCCGGCGGAATCGTGGTCAGCGTCGCCGCGATCGCAATCCACCCGAACTACTCCGCCCCGACCGTCGACAACGACCTCGCCGTTTTGACCTTGTCCCAGAATCTGACTTTCGGCCCGAAGATCGCGCCCGTGGGGTTGCCCGCGTTCGGGGCGGATACGCTTGTCCCCGGCAACGAAGTGGTGGTCTCGGGCTGGGGCGCGACCGGCGAGGGCGCCGCAAACTCCCCGTCCCTGCGGGCTGTGACGGTGTCGGTCGTCGGCAGGGAGGAGTGTCGTGCCGGGTATCGGGGATTCGGGCCGGTGACTGACAGTATGTTCTGCGCGGGGACGCCGGCGGGCGGGAGAAATGCTTGTGGCGGGGATAGTGGGGGGCCTGCTGTTGTGGTTGCCGGCGGGAATGGGGATGGGAATGGGAATGAGAGCGGGAGCGGGAGCGGGAGCGGGAAGGCTGCCCGTGGGGTTTTGGTGGGGGTGGTCTCGTGGGGGCATGGCTGCGGACGGAAGGGTTTTCCCGGGGTTTATGCGAGCACGTCATTTTTGAGGGGTTTTATTGGTCGGGTTACGGGGTTGTAGGATATGATATACCTTGTCTAGTAAGTTGGAATTGGATTGATGAGTTCCATGGTGGGTACACAGTAATAGAAGGTACAATAAGGAGCCTTTGCATTTGCATGACGGTATGAGGAAAACCTATCTCAGGGGAAAACTCACACCAAGGCCTAGGACTACTTCGCAGTCCCCAACCCCAGAAACAATATGATAAGGCAACCAGAGTAGCTCGGGGACTATTTTCACAGTGGAGAGTTCTAATCCTCCGATTCTTGTCCTCCACAGGAAGTGTTCAGATCATCGGACTCGGCGATAGGATCCTTATTGTTCACCGGATTCTTCGAGGTGTCCATCGCCCAGATCCTCCACCCGTTCCTTGGCATCCACATCTATCAGTACGCTGGTTGCGATATACACCGTAGAGAGAGGGTTGAACTCACGCGCATGGCACATCGTAACGCGGCTGAACCTGGTACCGAGATTGTTCGTGGATGTTCACCGGCTCCTCGTTGAGTTTTATGGGCTGCAGCTCGGGTTGATGCGCATAGTGCGTGAGCCAGAAGTTCGCCTGGCGAGGTTCTCCTCTAGGCTATGTTAGTTTGTTTACTCTGGTAATCATATAAGAAAAATAAAACGCCTCATTGATTCAAATACTGCAAAAATGCGTTATACATACGGTGCCACGTCATCCCAGTTGATATCCCACTTTTCCCGGGGATTGATCGTGCCGAAGGTGCCTGGGAACCTCATTTTGTGGTCCTAGTGAGGATTTATCACTCGAAGAGGTATGTGTGAAGTGTGGAAGGATCAAGTGTCTGCAGTGGGGTGTCTGCTTGGGAACTTGCTGCGAGGCTGGGGCGGTCTAGGTGGTGGGCATCATGGATCTATAGCCCCAATCCTCTGGCAGTCTTTTGCCCTCTCATAGCAGCTTCCTCTCGGGGTTGTTGCACGGGCTCTGGGGATCGTAATGCAACGTGCGTAATCATCCGAAATCTCAATGTTGTGTAAGTAAGCGTCAGATGTTGCGGCTGGTGTAAAGACTTGTGGAGAACCTCCGCTGCGAGTATGCTTATCTGAGGCTTTGATCGTTGTCATCTCGCAGTATTCTCTCAATAGATATGCCCTAACTGGTGAGGTAAGACTCATCTGCATTTGATAGTGAAAATCGATATGGCTTGGCGGATGTCAGTAGATGAGGTCCTAGCGCTGTTGTACATTTGGCGTTTAAGCTATGATGTGGTTTCAAGCCAAGGATGCGCGTCTTGAAGATAAGTTCTAGTTAAGTGCCAAGTCCGAGACTGCCCATGTACACACGGAGATTTTTTACCATAGGTTCCCGTTCGGTAGGACGATGCTTATCTCTTCGAGCGCCGTTCCATGCATAGTAGACCGGGATGCCGCACACAGCTGTGGCCAGAGAGACGTTTCAGTTATCTTAATTTGGCCAGAACTGTTTTCTTCTTTTCGCTCTTGATCCACCAATTTCTGACATGATCGACGGGCTCCTTGACGAGGCGAGTAGTGCACACCTCAATGACATGTGCATATGCATATGGTTACGCTTATCCCTTGGGATGAGCGAGAGTCCTTGATTCGATCTTGTCATGCTGCTCCGGGCGGCGATCTGCGATCTATGATGGATTTATTGAGATCTGTGAGACGGTATCATATCTTGCTGACTGCGAGATTCGATTATGCGACCAGTGGGCGTGGTGGGCTCTGTAAGGATAGTTAGGAGCAGGCTACTGTTGGACCTGACACTCCTCTATTTTTCTGGCTTCCCTTTTTTTTTCTCTCTCCTTTAGTTGTTTCGATAAAGTTATGGGAAAGCCAATGCATATGGGCTGCACTGGGATCATCTCCTCGCGCATATCTGCGGTGTGTGTGATAGAAGCCTTGGCCGTAATTCTCAGTGGTTTCTACCCCACATACGATCAGTTGATGGACTGAACGTCTTGTGTCACGTTTCTGCAATGGACTTACTTGACCTGTGCATGCATACGCTAGAGGCGCAGTTGCGATGAACATTCGAAGAATAACAGCGTAGTGGCTAAGCAATGAGAAGACTCTTCGTGGCAGTGCAACAGCCGCCAAATGAACTGCCTCTACCTAACTAAGCATTTCCTGCTGCCGTCGCTACCCAGGTAAAAGTACTACCAACTAGTTACCCAAGTGGGAAGTATGCGGTGTCGATAGCCTCTGTTGATTCAGAAACTGACGTGGTGCCGCCTGATTTGTGGACGCGCTCTCTGTTAGTTCGGAATCTGACGTGGTGCCGCCTGATTTGTAAACGCGCTCTCTGTCGATGCGCTTGTCTGCGTCTGGTGCTGAGCGCGTAGAGCAGGCGGCACAAAAGACATTTAAAGCGCTCCTTGCCCTTGCTTTTTTTTCGTCTGCCTTCCTTCTTCTTTCTCATTCTTGTATGGATTCCTGAGGTATCTCTAATCGATATTTGACTGGAAGCGCTACTTTCAAGAGCTGACGCAGCTGAAGTGAGATATCGGTGTTGTTTATTCCTCGTTCGCCGGGATGACTTTGCGGGAGTCAGCTCTATATCTCTATCGCGTCGAGAGCGATCAGTCGAGGGCTCAAAAGGTTAGGGGCCGCGGTATTAAGTCTGAGGGACGTCACCGGGTCGCATTTCGACCTCGAAGCTGGAGACAAAGGGTGGAGTTGACGGATGAAGTGTGGGCGCACCTAAATTGGAGGAACCGGAAGCCGACACCATTTGTTTCGGCTTCGCGGGACCCAGACTGGGCGATCAACCAAGCCGAGAGACGTGTGCGTGAAGGAGAGACGAATGTCAGGGTGTACAAGATTGCGGTACCCCGTCTGGGAGTTTATAAATCCCAATTCGAGGGCTGGGTGACCGTCATGCATTTGTATACATGGCTCCATGTGGCCAAATCCGATCTTCCTGATTATGCTGACTTCCCGTCCTCAGCAAATGAATATTTATTTCTTCATCGTATTCCAAAGGAGTTTATTGTTGACACTTGGTTTTTTGATGTTCTGGTGGTTGGAGATGAGGATGAGGAATGGTGCCGAGGCGGAATGCAGTTCGTTGGTTGATATTAGTAGCAAGTTGAGTTTGTTTCTAGTCGTTGCTGTTGGGTGGAAATTGGGCAAGGGCAGGTAGATCTCATTCATTTTGTTTTCTTTGTGCGACTGATATTAACTGTACCTTCTTTAACTTTCGGGAGACGTACATTGGGTGCTAGGGTGATTGTAGGCGTTGATGAAGCCTTCAAAAAATTCGCCTCGGCCTCAAGTTGGAGGTGACTTCTAGCAATCATACACACCTTAGTTAATCGTTCTTAGGGATGCAATCGACATAACTACCTATTGCGATGCTGAAACATATATCATGTTCAAAGAGCAGCCGCGTAAGAGCCCTCTAATTTCAAGGTTATTGTGGGTCAGCTCTAAGGAATGTTTCAAGCTTTGATATCCCGTTATAGCATGAAGTCTGAAGTCTGGCGTAATAACCATTCCAATATAGAAGCACACAATAACTGTGAATAGAGCCGTGGATGCTTAGAATGCTAGCTGAATTTTTTGAGTTTGATCTTGTATTTTTAATTAATTTCAACTTATCATCAATAAGACAATATGGCCGAGCGGTCTAAGGCGATAGACTAGAAATCTATTCTCTTCGGAGGCGTCGGTTCAAATCCGACTGTTGTCGTTTTTTGCCTTTTGTTTTCCCCTTGCCGCTGATCCTTAAGCAGCGATAAGCTGGTACAGCTCAATGGCGGCAATCCACGGGCTGAGCAGAAGAATATCTTTTATTCAAAACTCAACAACCCGACAGCCGTGTCCCTCGGGATCGAATAGGTGTTACATGCTATTGGAGCTGCCACCCTTGGGATGAAGCGGCCAACACCGAATCCAACGTGGATAGCCAAATATATGACAGCCGAGATCCCACCCTCTTTGTGGAGCTCCGATCATATCATTCCCCCGGGTAATGCCCGACTCAACCACATTTATTGTCCTAGAAACACTTGTCCTCGGTCATCTCCTACAATCCTACCGTCGCAACCCGCATGGACTGGCATCTTCAGAGAATCTCCAGCTACGAGCCCGCTCGTGCCATCTCCAGCGTGAAAGACTCATCGCAGTTGGAATATAAAAGCACCCGTCACACTAAATCCAGAGATAGCTCCACACAACCCACCCAAACCCAAGAAAGTTGACCAGCGGCTAGTTAGTTTTCCCTTCTGAAGCAAAAAGAACAATGCCCTCATCAAGGAGAGAAACTCACGATTTCTGGGCCCTCGACTTCTGGGTTGAACGCAAGCGGGACCTCTCGCTTCCGGGCCTGTTAGTACTTCTACAAGACCAGATAGGGGAGCGCCTTCACAAGGGGATTTTCACTCCGCCGGAGATCGCCCCAAGCCTGCATTATGTCATGATCCGGGTCATCACACGCGACGGTGAGTGCCTCGAATCAGCCCACAAGGACCTTGACTCGAAGCTCTGTCGACTGATGGCTAACGAGGACTGGGAACACGAGGAGCAGACCGAGCTGAATTGGTCCACCAAGATGCTGCGTCGTGTACGGAAGGACGGTCAGAAGGATGGCTATCATCTACAGTTCTGGAAGATCCAGGAATTCCCCCGCGAAAGTATTGAACCCGTGGATTTCGCTACCGCTGAGGTGGGCCTTCGGGTGCTCGAGCTTATGAATGAGTGGCAATGAGAGCATTGCGGAGCATGGATTTGGGGCGGTGGCTTCGCAATTGGATGGTCACTCCTCTCTCATTTGAATGTGTTAAGTATGAATATGAATATTTCCAATGATTGTCTTTTCCGTTCTATTGATATACAGTATTAGGGAGACGGGTTGTACGACCGTAAGTGGCAAGTGGCAAGCAAGTCTAGGCCAGCAATTCACTTGACTGCTTGCATCTCTGGTCTTTGAGCTATCGCGCGCTAAGGCTTCTAGATCGCATCGTGCCCCACCCGCTGTCAATCTTTCTATGGCTGCATTTACTTTTCTGAATATTTTCCCCAATTGATCGACCGCATCTGGGTTATCAATTTGATGTTCTGTGTTCATTGGTGGTGAGAATCCTTGTCAGCCGCAAGTTTGCTGTGTTTGTGGCTAGTTTTCTGTTTACTTCCCCTCATAGTCTCTCATAAATACATCGTACCCCACTTTTGTTCTTCCTTCTCCTTCCTCATCCCCTTTGGCAAACAGCCTGAACACACCATCTGACGCCTCCTCCTCTTTCTTCTGCCTTTCAACACCCATGACTTCGACTATCAAGCAATAGTGATTATTTTGTCATGGCCGTCAAAGGCCTGCTGTTCATTCGTTGCCGGGGTAGGTACTTTGCGTACTCCAACCGGTGGGACAGTTATCCGGAAGGTCTGGGCATAGAGTTGTTCGACACTATCCCCGCAGATCCCATCCAGTACCAAGGCATGTCACCCGTACAGAATACACCCGCCTTTCAACAAGCAAGTCTTTCTAACCTCTCATTCAGCATGGCTCGAAGCTCTTCGCTCCACGTTTTCGCGTCTCGTCCACCAATTCGAAACGCAATGCCTCCCTGTCGCCATCCAGTCCATCGACGAGGACTCGAACGCCTCCCTCACTGAGCGCTACGAGATGAGCTACTTGGCCCTTGACGACCGGCTTAAATCGCCCCCTTTACAGCTAATGCCCCCGGAATGGCGGAGCGGAGATCATGAATGGGTTTACACCGTCGATTTGGACAAGGAGATCTTTAGCATCGACAATGCCGTCCATTTCCGGCTCTTCAGCATCGCCAGCGACCGGAATTGGACCATGTACCTCGGTAAGGACGCTCGTCGCCGCCGCGCGCCTGCCAAGTGGACACCCTCACATGTGCTTGCCGATCCCACCTTCAAGCCTCAGGTGAACGAGACCCTGGTTGAGATGTTCAACCGGCTCAAGGTCGAAGTGGTTGCGCCAGAGTCCTTCTATCTCCCTCAAGATATCTCCTTTCTTCGTGAATCCTTTCTGGCCTCAGCGTTCACAAGATTGCAGGGGCACTATCGCGATCTCCTGGACGGGAGCTATCTTGAATGGGGCCCCACAGACTTTCCCTTCAGAGAGATAGCATATGCTATCGTGTCTCTGGCCACGGGTGCTGTATCGTTTGCGAGTATCAGTTCCTTGGATGCCAACCACAAGAAGGAGGGGTATTACCTTGTTCATGGTGAAAAATCTTCAAACTCTGGGTTTCCGAGCCTCCGACCAACCCTTCTCCCCCGATTTTTGCACGAGTCACACTATCCCGGGGTGGGGGCCGGGTCGGCTCCACGGCAAACAATGTATTGGTTGGATAGTGTCTTGGTCCACTTGGTCTCGGGCCTAGATCGCGTCGACATAGAAGAAGCCGCGATTGCCGAAGCCGTGGAAGCCGGACTCGAACAGGGGCGAAAGTCATTCTATGCAATCGTCTTCTCGATTTTGGATGTAATCCTGCTGCGTGTACAGAAGAAATCATGCCTGGGTGTTGTTGTGGAGAGAAGTCCACTTATGACATTGTTCGAATTTGATGACACTAATTCTTCGTTCGCAAGAGGGCCTCGGAATCGATTGCCTCGCAATTTTGGAAACGTCAAGGAATCTCAAGATGGCACCAGATCTCATAGCAATCTTTGGGCCGATGATCTTACCCAACCCAAAAGCCATGACCGTCAACTGGATGATGATGCTTCCAAGTCACTGACAATGCGCCTTGCCGGGAAGATGAAGTATTCCATTGTCTTTGTGACACTATTACGTTTCTTCGACGCAGCCACGTATCATGATCTGGAAGGTGCAGTGTCCCATGTATTGCCGAACGAGACCCTGGCGAATGTGATGCAATTCACCGATACTCAAACATATCGCACGCTTAGCAAATTGTCAGCTTATTGCCGCAAGACCAGTCTTTCCGATTTTCGGCTGAATGACCATTGTACCATCGTTGACTTTGATCTCCACAGTACCTCCTACACTTTGGTCGACAAGCGCACGGGAACGCAGAGCACCACTCGACTCTGTCGTGGGGGTTCCACGCGAGGATGCAAGGAATTAGTATTGTCCCCGATCATCGGAATCGAAGGCCCCTCAAGGCGCAGTATCATCGATTCTGTGCAGTTGCACTTTGTGAACGTCCCTAGCAGGGAAGCACCTTACACAAAAACCATTGCAATGCCGCGCAGGTAGGAGTGTGCCTCTCAGTCACATCATGGGCAGTGGGGTTGGGCAACATCTGATCTCTCATCACAGAGCGGCGTATGACCGATTGGCTTACCCCGGCTTCGCTCCCTCCATCAACTTCGACATGCTCTTCCATCTTCCCGACCATTTATATGTTGGGTCCGTCGAGGAGGGCTGGGACCGATACCTCAAGAAGTTAATTCGAAGATATCAGGATGAGGAGGACAGCCCCGGATCCAGTTTTGATACGGGGCTGTTCGACTGTGTCCGCCCACCCGGATACCGTGAGATCACCATGGACGCCTTCCGCTGCAGTGGCTTCCACTGTTTCCTGCGCCACGCCCGGGACGAGAGTGTCGACGAATGGGTGGCCACCACGCAGTTTGCCCTGCGTCGTCTGCTTATCCGCGAAGGCTGGGGCGGCGGGTATGAGGCGGAGGAGAGATTCCCCCTTCCCGGGCGGCCCGTCGTGGTCGCCTTCTCCGCCCGTGCCGGGCTCTTCTATTATGTGCATCATCGCCTTGAGAAGCCCATTTTACCGCCGGGGGTAGGGTATCATAGCCTCGAGATAGCGGAGAGATGCACCGATCCTGACCTGCAGCGCCGCCTTGTTCCGCTGATCCCCGGGGTGATCGACTTGAGGAATTACTCGTCCCGGGTCGAGTTCGAGAGCTGGTTTGAGCGGTTCTGCCATAGCGTCGGGGAGAAGACGGTGTACGATCCGTTCACTGACCAACAGCAGCCTCTGACTCGTGTGCCGGAGCCACAGCCTCATCTAAGTAAACAGCCTATGACTAGTACGGAGCCTGTTGGGAGCGATGTGGTATATGATTTGCCTTCTATGTATAGGTCCTTAGGGTAGCTGGGGAGGCTACTGCTGTTGCTGTTTGGATACGTAAGGGGCCTCAGGGGAACTAGTACTGACTGGACAGAGGGTGAACTGACAGCACACTGAGTCATTGGCTTTGTAGACTGAACAGGGCTATCAGACATATGGGGAAGCGATCATTGACATGGGCCGAGAGATTCAGTGACTAGATTCTCACTAAACTTTGATAAGAATTTTCGTCATCTTCAGGAGTTCCTTCTGTCATTTCCGTGCCAGCTCCCGGTGAGACGTCGGGGGATATCCGACATAAACCCACCAGCAGCTTTACTCATGTCTCAGGAGGAACCGTTCACAATTGTTATTGTCCAGCACAATGAACATCTAGGCGGGCTTCAATCGAACGACCTGAACCACAAGCCTATCTCTTTGTCTCTTCTGCAATGGGAGGCTCTAATGCACGACAAAGCTCATTCACGAAGGACATGGCCTTTGTCCGACGAAGTCCAGTTGTTCTTTGTCTGTTAAATGATATTATGTCTTAGGCCGGAAAGGAAATTAATAAGTACAACTTATGTGAACTATACCAACTCGATTGTTGATTCTACTTCTGCTTTCATCCAAGATCCCTCGCAGCTCACTATAGTTATCGAAATACGACTTTCTCCATTATATCAACATACAATCCAACATCTCCAGAGAGAGTATACCATCGAACATGTCCTCCGAGCCTCCCCGAGCCCTCAAGCCCAAACGAAGCCGAAGGCAATCTCTCGTGGCCCGCAATTATGCCCGTTACGAAAAGACTCGCCATCTCACTCCATATGCTCTACTCGAGCTCGACCTCCGACAAGAGGAATGCGTCGCGCATCCTATCCGGTATGCCTGCCATCTTCTGCCTTTCCCATCGGTTCATTGAAGATACTGACATCCAGGATCCAGAGCCCGCACCTTCGCCCCGGAAGTATACAGCCACCTCTCCGAAGCGCAACGAGCCCACCTCCGACAGCTTGCCGAAAACGGTGGGCCCGATCTCTCAGACCTGCGGGGTGTACGTCCGCCCCATCGTCATCCCCATCCCTGATTCCCTTCCATTCTCTGCCCATCATCAACCCTAAAAACCCGATACTGATACTGATACTAACATCACGGACGGGGAAAATAGTATCCAAGAACACAGCGTGCCAAATCCCCCGGCCCCACCGCCCCCGCCTCGGCCTCGGCCTCGGCCTCCCACCAGCCCTCAACCCTACCCCCAACAAGCACCTACACCCCAAGCATCGAAGAACCATCCCCAGCCTCCTTTTCGCCCCTCAACCCCTCCTCTTCGCCAACCTACCACTCAACCTCATTCCCGGAACCCTCCGAACCCTCCGAACCCTCCCCCCGCAACCCCACCAAACCAACCCCCTACCTCTACGGCCCCTCCAAAACCTTCACCACCCACGCCCCAGACCACTCCCCCCTCCGCCCCCATCACCATCACCACCACCATCACCACCACCATCACCATCACCATCGCCACCACCGCTCCATCTCAGACGACCCCCGCCACCGCCGCCGCCACCGCCGGACGGGCAGCGTCCTCCGCCGCCGGGTCCTCCTCCAGGAGGCCCGCCGCGGCAGCGTCGCGCGGTACGGGCTGGGGGCGGCCGGGTTCTGGCATCGACGGCGGCGGCCCGACGGGCGGCTGGAGAGCCAGGCCGAGGCGGATGCGCGGCGCGCGCGGGCCCGCCGGGCGTGGAGCCAGGAGGACTATAGGGTGGTGTTTGAGGCGCTTGCTTCGGTGAAGTCTGCGGTGGCTGAGGGGGATCGTGGGGTTAGGGGGAGGAATGGGGGAAGCGGGAGGGGAAAGGGTGGGAGTCGGAGTCGGAGGTCGGGGTCGGGGTCCGGGTCTGGGGAGAAAGGGGAATAGGGCTAGAGGGTAGAGCTTTATTTTGGGAATGGGGGTTGTAGATTGGTGTATGGTCTTTGCTTAGGGTTGATGTGTGGGGGTTTTTTGTTTTTGAGGGTTGTTTCCGTTAATGGGGCTGGGTTTGGGGAATGGGCTCTTTTGTCTAGCTAGGGCTTGGTTTGGGTGTTGATTGTTCTGCGCTGCTTTGGTGTATGTGGTTCTGTTCTAGTTGCGTTGAGATTTATGCCGTTTTTATACTTGATAGGGACTTTGTTATTCTCATGGTTGCCTTCAGCAAGAATGGAATGTCGCGTGTTCGAATCATACTTGTTATAGTCATGTTCAAACTGTAGTATCAATAGTATCAATTCAAGCCCTCATAATCATATACATAATAGGTATCAAAACAGCCCAGACCAAAAACTCCCTGTCGCAAATCTACAACCCTCCAAGAAAACAACACCCGAAACACCTTTGGCCTTCAGCCTAGTAGCCTCCTCCCTCAACCTAGCTATGCTGGTACTTGACCAGCGCATCCCGCACCAGGGCAATCACCTCCTGCAGCACCTCCGCCTGGCCCGCGTGCACGTCCACGATCAGCGCGTCCCACTCGTCGCCGACCACGGGCTCCTCCAGGTCCATCAGCTGCGACTGCACCATGCTGCTCTTCATGTAGTGGGCCTGCCGCTGCGTCACGCGCTGCAGCAGCGCCGTCGGGTCGACCTTGAGGTAGATGAAGTGGATCTGCACCGAGGGCGACCCGTACGCGGCCACGCGCATCACGTCCCGGTACTTCTTCTTCAGCGCCGAGCACGCCACCACCACCCCCGTCGGCGGCCGGTAGCCGTTCGCCTCCGACGGCGACAGCGCCGAGATCGCCGCTTGCCGCAGCGAGATCAGCCAGTCCCATCGGTCCGCGTCCGTCAGCGGCACCCCGTTGCTCATCTTCGTCTTGTTGGAGGCCGGGTGGAACTACACCGGACCGAAATCAGTATTCACGGGCGATGCGAAAGGGGTCGACTGGAGATAGTTGGTGTTTTGGGGGGGGGGGATAAACGTACATCGTCGCCTTCTAAGAACGGTACCCCCAGTTCTTCCTGCAGACCGCGCCCGACGGTGCTCTTCCCACACCCGGCGGGCCCCGTCACCACCCAGATGTGTTGGATCTGCTGCGGCGGTTGCGCCGGAGGCTGCGGCTGGGTCTGGTCCGCCCACATGGGGTTGGTGGTGGTGTGGTTGATGTTGAGGGGGGTGTCGACCACCGCGCCCTTGTTCTTCATGGCGGGTTGCGGGCGTTCGCCGGCGGAGAGCATGGTTTTTAAGTTTAAGGGTTATTGGTTTTTCGGGGCTTAGGGGTTTTTGTTAGTCAAGGAACGGTGCGCTGGAATAATTGGGTGTATGACGTGCTCGGAATTTGTGAAATTAGGTTAGAACCACAGTTGGGATTGTTGGAGTTGGAGCTTGTGTAGGCAACGGTAGAGTGCAAAGGGTGTGGTGTTGTAGTGGATGTAGTAAGTAGGGGCGGGTAAAGTTGGCTTGAGTTCTCCCTGACGCAACAACCGGGGGAAAGACTGAGCTTAAGAAGGACAAGGACAAGGACAAGAATAAGATCGGGGAAGAAACTACGGCTATAAAGCAGAAGGGAAAAGACGGGAAATCAGAATGATGAAAGGGTTTCCAGGACGGGCAACAATACTAATAATAATCCCATGGACTGTGTGGGTCAGTCAGTCCGGGGGGGGGGGGGGGGCGTTATCGGCTTCAGAATGACACTGTTTCGTCCGGTCTGGTTTTCCTTGAATTTGCGACTCGAATGAATGTGATTGATCGCTTTTCCTACTCAGTATCCCCTTTCCAGGATCCACCCCGGCTTCTGGCATCGGGTGTTGAGACAGCGCGCAGCATGGGCCGGATTTAAGGTATCAGAAGTAGAGGGAAGAATTCCCACTCGTCATTTCATCACCACTGCATTTGGAGTGGGGGGGAAAGGGAAAGGACAAGCACCAGCAAAAAAAAGGGTGGGGGAAAAAAAGAAATAAAGAAGCGTCTTTTCTTCTCTGAGACTCCGGCGGTCTGGTTGTTAGCGGGAGATCCGATCGGGCTCTGTATCACAGACGTATGGCTTACACCTCTCTGTATTTACACCATAGACAACTACGAGTAGAAAGCCACAGGAAGAGTGTCCATACAGTGACGCAGCACCTGTATCACATTCTCCGCTGTTGCCATTGATCCAGATGAGACGAAAATCCCTCCCATTGCTCCAATCATTATCTCGAACCAATGTGTTTCGGAGGAGTATCGGGCGAGATAACCTGCCCATGCCATGATGTCACTGGAGCTGTGATGTGTAACCGGCGTTTCGGAACAGTCGGTAAATTTCCCCTTCCGTAATCTATTTTCCGGCCAGCAAAAAATTGGGGGTTGTTCCCCCCACACTATTCCCTCTATGGCACTAGCCTGCTTGTTCCTTTTCTATGCACCTTCTTCGATGCTTCCAGAGGCTTTCCTCTCTCGAAAGGCTCGCTCCAGTTCTACCGTGGACCGTGGACCCATTTAAGACCTTCACAGTTGCATGAACAGAAACAACCACAACATTGGATGGGTTTACTTTTCTTTCCGTTGGTCTGTTTGCAGCAGCCTAATCGCCAAACCAACTGGCAATAGTGTCACGAGGTCTCGAGACAGCAAGAGACAAAAAAAAAAGTCCGGCCTGGGCCGTACCTTTTCCTTTTCCCCGGTGCCAGCCATTGCGACAGGTCGGATTTAAGCTTGACCGGGGTCATTTCCCTCTGTTCACAGCAGAACTCCATTCCCGTAGGTACACGTCGTTTGGTGTCACTTTTGACCCAACCAGAACCAGAGCTTTCTTCATCTTCCCCCTCTTGTGAAACCATTTAGCTCTGATCATGCGTCCCTCCCTTCGCTCACCGCCGCTGACAGACTTGAATGGGAAACTCGCCGAGGAACATAATGATCAAATTACCTTGCATTGGCTGCAAGCAACTTTTCCAAGGTTGATCTTCCCTGGCGGCTCTGTGCATGATCCGACTGGAGTGCAAGGGTTCCTTACCGGATTTCTGCCCAACGACCTCCTCCTTGAAGCGAGAGATATAACCTTAAGCGCCCTAAGCTGACAGATTATTCCCATCGGAACTGGTGACTGTGTCTCCTCAAACAACCCCTCATTTTTATAGACAGGTCATCCAATTAGAGTATCGATCCCTGACAGTGCGGAGGGGACGGATGACTTCCCCAGACTTTCTGGAGCCTGTTTCTGCAGCGCAAAAGGAGCAATATTCCCCGCTCCAGCGACTTTAGAGTGCGTTTATGCCCCGTCGATCTTGCCGCATGTCATTAGGACAGGACCATATATGCAGAGTTTCTTCGATACATCACGAGCTATGAACATATCCGAGTAGGAAGTCGCACATGACGTGTAAAGTACTGGAGTATAAGATAAAAGGCGTTCCATACAGCGAGTGCTTCTTTGGCGGGCAGCATGACGAAGGCGGTGAGTACGTAATCGGCAATAGTGCCAGCGCGTCCACCGCCGCCAGGCAGTCGAGATGCCGCCGATGGAGCTGGCCATCTCATGGCCATTCCTGCCCGCTAATTGTTATTCAATTTGATTTTACACTCAGGTACACGGCTTGACTTCACGACTGGACTTTGCCAGCCGCTGCCAATCAAATTTGTTCCACTCCTCCCTTCCCCCGTGCAGCACCCCAGCTCCTTGACTCCTTCCTCCTCCCCCCCCCCCCCCACGATGACCTCCCTCTTCTTCTCCACCCCGGTGGACATCGACGTGGTTCTCGAAGATAGCGATGAGCGCCAAACGGTGGACGTCAAGTTGGACAAGGGCCGTCGCGAGAGGGTCCCTCTCTACATGGACGGCGAGTCCGTCAAGGGAGCCGTGACCGTCAGACCCAAGGATGGAAAGCGGTTGGAACACACTGGCATCAAGGTGCAGTTTATCGGTACTATTGGTATGCGACCTAGGCCTTCATCCCCGCGCGCGGGCATATCCATCTTATCACACTGCCACAGCTCAACACTAGGGTGCACTAAATCAGGCTGACCTGCTCCTTCACAGAAATGTTCTACGACCGCGGCAACCACTACGAATTCCTCTCCCTGGTGCAGGAGCTGGCGGCGCCCGGCGAGCTGCAGCACCCGCAGACCTTCCCCTTCAACTTCAAGAACATCGAGAAGCAGTACGAGTCCTACCACGGCATCAACGTCAAGCTGCGCTACTTCGTCCGGGTGACGGTCTCCCGGCGCATGGCGGACGTGATCCGCGAGAAGGACCTCTGGGTGTACTCGTACCGCATGCCCCCGGAGACCAACAGCCCCATCAAGATGGACGTTGGCATCGAGGACTGCCTGCACATCGAGTTCGAGTACTCCAAGTCGAAATACCACCTGAAGGACGTCATCGTGGGCCGCATCTACTTCCTCCTGGTGCGTCTCAAGATCAAGCACATGGAGCTGTCGATCATCCGCCGCGAGACCACGGGGTCGCCGCCCAATCAGTACAACGAGAGTGAGACGCTGGTGCGGTTCGAGGTGAGTGCAGCTGGAACACGATTCGGGGGATGAGGATAGTGCTGGGAATGCTAACGGCGCACATTGCAGATCATGGATGGGTCGCCCTCTCGAGGTGAGTGAGAATCAAGCCCTTGAAAAATAGCCCAGCCAAACAACCTTGACGAGTCCAGCTAATGCTGACAATACCTCACCCAGGTGAAACCATTCCCATTCGTCTCTTCCTCGGCGGATTCGACCTGACACCCACCTTCCGCGATGTCAACAAGAAGTACTCGACGCGATACTACCTCAGCCTGGTGCTTATTGACGAGGGTAAGTCGGTTACGCTGTCTCTCTCTCTTTGTTCTCTCTGTTTCACAACCCACCCACCCTTGCCTTGGATTTTTTTTTTTTATTTCGTTCTGCATTGTCACAGAACATCGGGCAGAAGTGTGTGTCCACTTGCCGGAGACCGGTCGGCGGGAACCAGCCCCCCTTCCAAACCAACCGCCGGCGCACACCACACTAAACATCCCACGGCATCCCACTGTTCCCCCGTTCCCCCCGTTCCCCGTTTCAATAGCCGGTCGGCTATCGGTGAAAGCCACCTCCCCTCAAGCTGATCGGGCCACACACACCGCCCGCCACATCCAGCCCATCAATTACTACCCCCACACTAAACCCCAAGCGATGGATGGGCTTCTCCCCCGTCTTTGCCTAGAGGTTTTCCTCACGTGGAGGCCCCAATTTTTCCAATCGCGTTCCTTCTCCCAATTTCCTTCCTTCCCCCACTCCATCCGACTGCCTGCCTTACCCCAAAACCAACCAACAACCCCGCCTTTCTTCCCAGATGCCCCTATCAACAACAACAACTTCATCATCATCATCAACAACAACAACAACCACCACCATAACAAAATACACACAGTCCACTAACCCCATAACCCATGAAACACAGACGCCCGCCGCTACTTCAAACAATCCGAAATCGTCCTCTACCGCCAAGCCCCGGAGATCGCCCCCACCCCGCAAATCGCCCAGCAGCAGCAGATCCAGCAGCAGCAGTTGCTCCAACAGCAACAGCAACAGCTGCCCGTCGGCTCGGCCACCCCGGGTCCCGGTCGTAGTGAAGCCCATCAGCAGAACCATTTCGCGCAGCAGCAGCAACAACAGCAGCAGGCGGCTCAGTCCGTTCCTGCTCCTGCGGCTTAACGGTCTTCTAATTTGTTGTAAATCGTTCGAGCTAAGTAATGCGTGAACCTTTTTGCCTGGTTAGAGAGGTGCGGTTGCTCTTGCTCTGGTTGGTAGTGTATGGGCGGGCTGGGGCTGGGGCTGAGCTGGAGCTGGAGCTGGAGCTGAGATGATTTGTACTTGTACTTTATTTCATATATACCCTTGCTTTTTCTCCTTTTTACTTTGTTGCTTTGTCGGGGGTTGAGATGTATGTGTATGTGGTGTAGTCGGGGGATTATGTGTAGGCTGGGGTGATGGGGGTGGAATAGGTTTGTGTGCACGAGGTTGCGGACTTTCTACTCCGTAATTTATTTGTTGATGTAGGTGGGAGTATTAGGCTGAAGTAGTAGTATTGCTGATAGCTACACTCCAATTCTTTTTAAGGAAAGAGGTACTTCTACGATAACTATGACCCGATATACAAATCTCAAGCGGCTGCCTATACGTTCATCCAACAGGGATATCGATTAAGAAGACTAGAGCACAAACTAAGAATACATCTTTATCTGCATCTAACGGAACGGACGCCTCCAAGGGGCCCGAATCACGCCGACAGAACCTGGCCCAAGGCGCGCAGTACCTCCCCGTCGTCCTGCTGCTTCCCGGCTACCTGCACGGCTCGTACGACGAGCGGGTAGATCCACGCCAGGTGCTTCTTATGATCCAGGTCGCCTGGACTATTGATCGACACGCCGTTGACCGTGCCCGGGGGCGCGGGGACCGTCGACGGGTCGCTCTGCAGAGCCACCATGGCCCGGAGAAGGTGCAGGAGGGATTTCCGGGCCGGAGTGGGCTGCGGCATCAGGCCCCGCAGGGGCTGGTCGGCGATGTAGCCTTTCAGGGAGACGGCGGCTCGGAAGATCAAATATGGGGAGATGGACCGGGCGAGGGCGAGGCGGGCGGCAGAGGCTGATTGCTCGACAGGTGATGATCCATGCTCTGGCGGGGGTTGTGCGGGGTCAGATGAAGGAAGTGATGGCGCCGCGGCGAGGTCGAACAGTGTATCGATTACGGTGTACGCCATTTTGGTGCGAGGCGTCGGTGATGGGTCGAAAGTTCTGCCCGGACGGACATTGTACAACCCGTGCAGCGGGTCTTCTTCGAGGGGTTGGCGAGGGAGGTCTAGTCGCTGTGGGGCGTAGATGAACGATGACCGCAACAGGGCACAGGCGAAGTCACGGCGGGTGGAGTCGGGGATCGTAGATGCACCTAGCGATGGAATGATGAGCGTCTTCAGTCGGTTGAACGCAGCCACGTCGAAGGTTTCGTCGCTCAGGATCTTGGTGTGAGGAACGGAACCGGTTCGAAAGCCACGGGCCGAGACGATGCCATTTGCCAGGTCGACCACACAGTTCCAGAAACGGCTAATTTGCTCCTGCTGGGCTGTGGCATATTGCTTCTCCACGTATGGGATTCCCACCTGAAGGATGCTCAAGGAAGCAGTGGTGGATTTCTGCGAAAGACTCGGCTCGCGGTCCTTTCCGGGCCATTCATATCTCAAAGCAATGGGGTTCACCAAGTGGCTCAATGCGGTCGCCAGAGATCCGTCAAGGAATATGTCTTTCTTGATGCCGTGCTCGGAAATATACCAGTCTAGAAGCTCTATCACGCTCTTTGAGAAAGCGACGAAAGTGGGCTTCTTGGAATCACTCTCTGGCGACCACTCAGATAGAGGTGAATCTGCCAGTTCTGCCAGACATACAACGATGCTCGACTGCGAATTGCCATCCGAGCACAAGAGCTTCAGACATTCCATGAGCAGCGTCTGTACCTTGGACGGGCGGTCGATATCCGGTGAGTAAGGCGGGGATATCGAGTTCCAGGCAAGCAGTTGAAAATGTCCAAGGATCTTCTTAACACTTTCATCTTCAAGGTCGTCCTTGTAAAGACGATATATCTGTTGGAATGCTTGAAGATAAGCCATCGCAGCATCTTGATTCGGTCTATCCAGATTGAGCATATCTTCCCGATCGGCCGGGTGACCATTCAGCCACAAGAGCCAGGTTGAGCGTAGAGACTGCTTACTGAACTCGCCAGGACCCTGTATACGAAGAAGGGTGCTCGTCAGACTGGAGTAGGCAGCTTCACTGAATTCAAGAAGCCGCAAAGTAAGCAGCTTCTCATAGTATCCCAGCAGACGCTCCCATGACTGATCGAACAATTCGTCCTGGACTATCGTCCCAAAGAAATTCGTAATCAGATCAGATGCTCCTTTGACCATAACGACTGTTGTCTCAACCCAGGCCTTCGTGCTATCAGAGTGGTCGGACTTATTCTTCTCCAGCGTCAGGCAGAGCTCATCTTCTATCTCCTCCACCATACGGAACAGAACTCTGTTAAGACACAGACACCATGCCTTGGGAGACAACTGTTGCCCGTAAGCATCAAAGATTCTCAATAGAGTCTGGATAGCACAATTTCGGACCTCCGATCGGCTATCTGTTGTCAAGTCTACTATCCTCAGAAGGAGCAGTAGCCACAATGCATTCCGGGATATCGAGGGGTCATCGCCCTTGGCGAGGTTCGCAAGCGAATTCTCGCTCACGGAGGCATCAATGTGAGATTCAATGCAGAACTGCTCGATTTGTCCTTGGAGAAAGTCCGAGACGTTCCAGAAAGATGAAGTAGTGGTTAAGGAGATGTTGAAATCTTGCTGCTGTTGAGCAAACTTGGAAAATGATTCCACCAGGTCCAATCGACAGGGTAGTGGAAGCAATGCAACAAAGTCGGAGGCTATCAGTTGTAATGATTGATAAGCAACCCGCACAAGTCGAACGGAATCCGCTACCCATCTGGCCTGGCTTCTTGCGTTCGAGTTCCCGGATTCTTCATTTTCAACCCTCTCACCAAATACACTTGTAATGAGGTCGAAAGCAAGAGCCCATCCCTCCACGAATGTCTCGCCATATTGTTCAAGGATGCTCTTGAGGGTTTCCAGGCTCTGTTCATGAATCTCAACGACTGAAGCAGTGGGGAAGCCGATCGAGCAGCCGCTCGCTTCATAGAGCAACCTAATCTGCATCTTGAGCGCTTGGAGATTCCTGAGCTGTCGTTCATTCTGCTTCACAGGATCATCGCCAGCTCTTTGCGCCATGGTCAGTGTCACAATGCTGTTCAGTACCTCATTCGCCCTAAGCCGAAACTTCTGGCTGATCGCTCTGTCTGCCGCAGTTGACATCAGCCTGGTAGTGAGAAGATTCCAAGCGCCCAGGTCAGGCTCAATCAATGAAGACAGTCGATCAACGTTTGCCAGTGCTATCTCGTTGGCTTTCTCGAGCACAAACCTCACTAATTCATCTTGTGTCCTAGACTTCCCCACCGAAAGCGACACGCGATGGGTGTTTTTGCGCATGAGACTGGTGCGAGGAGAAAGAAGCTCTCCGGTAGGAGACTGTGGTACGGTCTGAGAGGCATCCTCAGCGGGCCCATAGAGGTCCAAAAGTGCAGTCAAGAGATCCTGGAATGACTCAATGGGATAGTCGCCGCTACTCTCGAACATCTTTGCGGACGCTGTTTGCACGGCTATGATCTCGGCGCCGAGATTGGCTTTTGGCACGTCCATCGATGCAGTCGAGGCTTCCGCGGAGCTTGTTATGGCCTGGGGATTTGTGGTCAAGCCAATCAAAATATCAGTATCTTGTAGGGTGCCGAGTACAATGGACCAGGCCGGCTGATCTAAAGTTGGCCCAAGCGCGATTCCTAAATTAAGCAAAGCGCGTAAGCACAGGAGGTTCCTGGTGCTCAAAGACACGAAAGTACTCTCTGGAGGAATATTGCTGACTTCGGCAGATACCGTCGAGCCACCGAGAGATACATGAGAGTCCTTCGTTTTATCATCTGTCATTTGTTTGGATTGCAGAGCCGTTGTAGCGGACGCCAGCGTATTCGCAGGCTTGACACTGCCGGTATCTGCTGGCATAACTGCTTTTCCAAGTGTCGTTAAGAAGGCATCCCGGGGTGTCGACAATCTCAGTAGACCAGCCACATGCGCCAATTTCTGAAAAGACCTAACAAGGTTGTGGTAGAAGTCATCATCAAGGGCTGCGTACAAGAACGTGGAGCATGCTGCAAGAATGGCTGGCCAGCAGTTATCAATAATGCCAGCACAACTTTTGATGGCCGCGAGCTGGGGATGTGACTCCAAATGAAGAGGGTTGATGGGTACGGGCGACTTCCTGCTGTTAGGCTGTCTCGGGGTATCAGTCGCTTGTTCGGGACCAGTCACACGACTTCGCCGCTTTTGTTTCAGGTCGGGAACTGTTAATGGTAGAATAAACTTTGCAAGCCCCTCAGCAAAGTTGCTAATGCAGTTCAGTACAAGACTGTAGATATATGTCTCAGGTGGCGATGGCGGCTCAGTCTTATCGAGCAATTCCATATAAGGTGTTCGAACCACGCTCCATTGGCTGCTGATTCCCGGCGCATCGGAGTCGGTGATAGGAACGGATGCTCCGATAACGCCAGCAACACCCCCTGCTTCGAGAGTAATCTGCTCTTCGGTGACAGCTCGTGTGTGCTCGGTTCGTAAAGGTACAGTGGACCGGGCGCTGACTCCAATCAGAGAAGGCTTTTCAGAGGCAAGACGAACCAGAGCGGCCATGTGGTCTTTCAAGATGTTCTTCCTTCTCTCCTCCCCGTCGTACAAAGAATATATGAGCCTTACCAGACCTGGCTCAGCATACAATCCTCGAAAAAGCTCCATGCAGAGGACTCGCTTCCACGGTGATGTCCCGTCTGGTTCAAGTAAATGCGTCACAAGCCCGAGAGCCATCTCGCACTCGGCAGGTAGAAGAGACATGTGGCGCTTGAGTAGCACTGAGAGGATGCGAATGGCACGAACAGTCTGGGAAAAAGTATGCCTCTCAGAGAGGATTCGCACCAGCACTGGCATGAGCTTAGCCCGCAAGACCTGAGTCAACTCGGCATGGGTAACGAAAAGCCTGCCACTATTGAGTAGAATGCTTTCGATGAGCTCTAGAGTGAACGGCGTGGACAGAGACTTGATACGAAGGAAATAAAGCGGTTCACCGTCTACGAGACGGCATAGGTCATCCAGAACCTGATACATCCGTTAGTTGTTCGGTCAGAGAGCTACAGGTAGGGAGCGAAAGCCTACCCGTAGAGCGTCATACGCAAAATGTCCCACGTTGATGGAATTCCCGTCCACCTTAACAGTAACCGTGGGAGTGGTTTTGTCGAAGTTCTCTGCAATATGATCAGAATCGGCTGTTACGAATTTCATCAACATTCCGAGAATCTTACTGTCTTCAATGGAGACTAGCTCAAATGTGGATACCACAAGCTGTTGGAGCGTTGCTGCGGCTGTGCTTGAGACAGCAGGCATCTTGTTCGTCTGCAGGGCTGCACAAATCTCCAGCGTGCTCACGAGAAGATCTCCGCCCAGATCACTCGCATAATGTTGAAGCAAGGACGGTAAAGTTTGCAATATCTTCAGTTGAATATCCAAGCCTTTCACAGCGTAAGTAAAGTACCGATTGATGGGTTTGATAGAATGACTTACTCATGTTCGCCGTCTCTTTCAGGCCAGAGAGTACATCTCTAAGGCGCTCTGGTGGCAACGACCGGGATGCCACCAGCCTTTGCAGGCAGATGACACCGATGCTTGCGAGCTTGGCATGGCGACTATGGCAAGCGATAATGAAGGGATTTACAAACTTGGGTTTGCGCAGAAGGTCTCACGCAATCTTAGCATTCATGCCGTTTGAATTTGATCATAATCATGGGCCAAAGAGACACTCACCGGCAGATATCTGAGCCTCTGAGGTTGAAGGTAGTGCCTTCAAGTCATTGAGCGACTCTTCGGCGGCCTGTATTACCGTTAGTCAGCATCAATGTTCGAAAATCCCTTTTTAGACAGTGGAAGCCTACAGTGCGAAGTTCCGAGTTTCTTCTCTTAGACTCTTGGATAAGATTCAAGAGTTCCGCCTGTAGGAACTGGGAGGACATTTCAAACAGGGTGCTGAATCATATCATGGCCGGCGCCAGTCGAGTCGGATAGTACAGTACAGTAAGGTAGCACTAGGCAGATGTGGCTTCATGTGGTTGGATCGCTGATTGGGTCGGTAGAGGAAGAGAAGAGAGGTTGATGAGAGCCTGAGCAAGTGAATTGACGCAATATACGTCTTATTAAGGGTGAATGCACATCAATACAAATACATAATTGTCATTTCCAAACAATCAAGCAACGAACGCAATCATCCGGAGTGGCAGCTCTCAGGAGCGCCAAGGCAGCGACGGAGATAAGTTCGAGGATATCACGTGGCATCGGCTGGTTCTTTATCATCACATGACCTATTCTTCAGGAACCCGGCGGGACAAGATACGCAATAGCCACCAGCCACTGATCCATTGCAGTGCCCATTGTCATTGCCGCAAGTGGGATAAAGTCGTAGGTGCCCCTCCTCCGCCTTCGGTACTGATCTCGTTTATCTCTCCTCAACAACAACCTTCATTTCTCTACAGTTATAATACACAGAACCCTTTCTCCAAGCTCACATACCGCATAATGTCGGCCAAGGTTCCCAGAAACTTCAGGTTGCTCGAAGAGCTCGAGAAGGGCGAGAAGGGCTTGGGCGCAGGTGAGCATACCTTCACAAACAAGGTGGCACATGACACACAGTTCACTAACGCACTTCCGTTTCCATCCCTTAGAGGCTTGCTCGTACGGTCTTGATGATGGCGAAGATATGATGATGAGCAACTGGAATGGCACTATCCTGGGCCCTCCTCACGTCCGTCCCCTCCGCATACTTATTCCCGCCAATACCCCAGCAGTACTGACTCGACAATGAATAAACACAGAGCGTCCATGAGAACAGAATATACAGTGTCAAGATTCACTGCGGTCCCGACTACCCTGACAATCCCCCTACTCTGCAATTCGTCTCCCGGATCAATCTGCCATGCGTTGATCCCCAAACTGGCAAGGTACGCATAGAGCTACGCTGCGTCATACACAAGGCCAGGAGTATACTGACTTCTCTATAGGTTGATCCCACCAAGCTGCCTTGCCTAGCTCAATGGAAGCGCGAATTCACCATGGAGACTATTCTGCTAGAACTTCGGCGGTACGCCGTGCCTTGACTCCCTATTCCTCCTCTGGTACATGCAGGTTCTGACTGTGTCACAGGTATATGGCTCTGCCCCAGCACAAGAAGCTTCCCCAGCCCCCGGAGGGCTCTAACTTCTGAGCAACGTGATGCTGTGAAATGACTCGGGAACCGAATGAGGAGTATTCTGGTGGGTTTTGTGCGTGCGGTTTCCTTCGCGTCTTCTTTCGTTATACTTTTTAGAGCGTGTACAGTCTATGCATAACGGCGGGCATGGCGTGGTGTCAATCGAAGCCTAGTCGCAATTCATCGATTCTAGAAATCTTTGTCGGTGTGGACTTTCCTGTCAACCTTGCTACTTAGACTATCCTTTTTATGACATTCATCATTAGCTTTGTGAGTATTCATAGATATTGAGCGAGTAGGGTCGGGGACAGTCATGGTGAGCGAGGTAGCAAATCGGCAGGGCACATGGGCTTCCATTAAGAGCACATATGTCGATGCCAATGAGTCGATTGGCGAGTAGACCGGTGCTACCACATAGAGGAGTGGCTTCACAGTATGGCGAACCAGCAAAAAGTATCAAGACAGGTCGTGCCCGGGATCGAACCGGGATTACAGGAATCAGAATCCTGGGTGCTAACCATTACACTACACAACCAAGGCGGTGAGTTTCGGCTCCATAGCCGATGTTATGAAGATAACCATGATCCCACAGTATCACGCAGCCTAATTTAACCTCACATTGTTCATCAACTTCAGCGATGATTAGTTACAGATGAGGAACCATGGTCTTGATATCTGTAAATCTTGGTTTCTTGCCCATACACATATGATACATTCGCCTTATATCATAAGTTGACACGTGATCGCGATCGATATCTTCTCAGTCACATGCTTCCCGGAATATATTTGACCTCGACATTGAACGCCTTATCTATTTCACCATGCACAGGTTGGTGGTGCCCAACAAATCTTCAATCCACCGATTCACAAGTGCGTACCTCAATAGACAGACCAAGCAATACTTCTTCAGGATGAGACTAATACCCGATTGTCGCGACAGCCCTAGCGCTCTATCGCGCGCTTCTCCGACAATGCGCCAAATTACCCGAAAACCTACCGGAGCGCAATGCATCCAAGCAGCACATACAACTGCGGTTCCACAGATACAAGACCCTCGAAAGTCCGTCCAGGGTAACACATGCCCTGAAAGCGGGATATGATGTACACATAGCCCTCCTTGCTCCATATCCCTTCCGGTGCTGACGACCGATTGATTAACGGGCGAATCTACAGGCACTCGACCTGCTCCATGCCGTATCACAAAACAAACGCACCGAAACCGAGCGTCTCAAGTCCCTCCTATCCCAGACCACCGAAGCACACGAGCGCCGGTCCGCGATGCAAAGAGAGCTGAGGCGGCTGAAGCCGGTCAAACCCATGAGCGCCATGGAGCTGAAGAAGGAGGCCAACAGGGAGGCCGCGAGGAGGACCATGTCGCGACACCCCGATGCCGTACCGGTCCTGTCGCGTCCACGGCCGACCGTCAACGGGATACGTCGCATTCCGAAACTCGTGAATGCGCGCGGCGTCCCCTTCCTGCGGATCATGAAACCCCAACCCGCCATCCTCGGGCACATTATCCGGGGCAAGCTTCGCAAACGAGGCAGGACATTTCTCGTGCGCAAGAAGTTACAGGAAGAGAGGATCTGGGCCCAGGATGAGGACGAGTGGGATCGATTGACCGGCCAACAAGAACGCGAGCCAACGGCCAGGTGGCGTCATCCCGTTGAAGTATGCATTATGGAACTCAAACGACGAGTCTCTGAGATGGAACGCAAGGATCAAGAGCTTGCGACAGCCATGTGGAAGGTCGTCCTCGCGGAGCGTGCGTTGGCCGCCAAAGAGGCCGAGGAACGGGCCGCCAAGATGGCGGCTGCGCCAAAAGAGACTACAGAAGGGGGAGAAAAAGAGCAGGACTTGAAGTAAGTCGGCCAGCTAGAGCGCGCGAAACTACCCAAGCGACCTACTTGATTGGGATTTTAGGGTACGTGCGTAGACCAGCGAAGGGGATGTCAGGACTAGAGCAATAGCCTTGGCCCGACGAAAAGCCCAGGCATAGCTCAAGTGGGCGAGTCCTCTATGCATTTCTCAGGCGAATATACCCCATTCTATCAGGTCATATCCATAGCATCGAACCATAGTCATATGTGTTTGAAATCCACCCGGTGTTCTTGGTCAATACCCGCTCTATGTATGACACATCTGTCAGACTGGACACTTTCATCTCTTTGGGATAAAGGCCCGTCTAGGCGCGACCTGTATGTATACTTGTAAATTGTGGCAAAGAGCACGTCACGCTCCTATGCGGCGATCTTCATCTTCTCTACAGCAGCGGGCATAGCATCCTCCTCGTCCTCATCAAAGTCTGCTCTGCCAGCCAGACCGCGCTCCCACAGTTGCTTGCCCGTGAGCTTCTTTTCCTCCTTCCCGGGCGCCTTCTTCTGTGCCTTCTTGTCCTCGGCTTCCTTCTCCTCGCGCAGCCTCTTCTCTTCGTCCTCCATCTCCTTCATAAACTTGTCCCGCCACGCCAGGAACGTCTCCCGGTTGACAGCCGTGCCCTGGAACTTCCGGTTCTCCTCTTCCTCGCGCTTGGCCGCCTCCATCTCGCGCTCCGCGTGGATGGCATTGACCCGCTCCGCCATAAGCAGCTCGGCGCTCTCCTTCAGCGCGCTCACCAACGTGAACACCATCGCCATCCCCATGTTCTCTTCGATGGTCGGCTGCAGCGCCTCGAGCAGCCTGTCCTTGTCCTCCGAGACATCGAGTCGGGGGTGTTTCGGTGCATTGGGGGCCGCGGTGATGTCGAGTTCCGGGGCAACGTCCGGATAGTCTTCCGGGTATGACACGTGCAGATTCAGGACTGGCGGCTCGAGCTCTTCGACGTCATTGTCGGGGGGGTCCAGGACGATCGATATCCGATAGGAAGTGTCAGAAATATCTGTAGTTGCAGGTTCTTTCGTCAGCGTCGAGATTCCAGAATTACCGCCCAAGCCAGAAAAAAAAAGGACAATAGTCTCCGGAGCGACTGGGCTAGTTCGCATACCTGTGATCTCCTCGGGGAAAATGGAGTCGAGCACTTCGCGCTCTTCGATCTGATCTTCGCGACCCATCTTTGCTTTCAATGCGCCGCCGGCGGGGGTGGTGGTAGAGGAGGGGTATTCGGTTTCGTAGGGTGAGTGAAAACTCGTTGCTGAGAGATCGTAGCTCTCGGATTTGATGGAGACAAGCACTAATAGCAATAGAACATGTAGTGCATGAGAAGAAGCACCAAGACCGCTTCGCTTTTTCCTGATTCGATAATCCTGAGCTAGAGCATAGACTGATCGGTCCCTCTTCAATCCGGCATGGAGTAGAATGTTGCGGTCGACGTGCAAACAGCACAAACAGATAAGGCAGGGCCCGGCGTCCCAAATTTATCGGGCCCGAAAAAGGGAATTTCTATGCTCCGCCTTGGAAAAAAAGATCCAACAAGCTCCAATTGCCTTACTTTTCTTCCTCTTACCTGAGTATTTTTTTTCTGCAATCCTATTTCTTACATCTTATGACCTATCAATCGACGATCACACACTCATTTTAGACCTATCACATTAACATGGGCAAGTCCAGGCCTCAGAAACAGAAGAAATCCTCCAAATCTCGCGAGAAGTCCCTCCTCGGCGTTGGTGGTTCGGTGAAGCAGTCGCAGAGCAAGATGAACGAAGACCCCACCCAGCTCCTGGACCAGGCGACGATACTCATCCAGACCGGCCAGGCCGATGCCGCTCTACAATTAGCGCAGCAAGCGCTCGACAGCTCGCCCGCGGGGTCCCCCTCATACCTGTCGGCCTTGATCGCCGTCGCAGAGATCTACGTCGAACTCGGAGATATCGACACCGCCAGAGCTCATTTCCTGCGCGCAGTCGAAGCCGATCCCAACGGAACGATACCGGAGTCTCAGGGCGGAGGCGCGGAGAAGTTCTTGTGGCTGGCCCAGTTGAGCGAGGAAGGCGGAAAGGATAGTGTCCAGTGGTTCGAGAAGGGTGTCTCCTCGCTCCGACATGCGATCCAGCAATTAGAACAGAACCCCGGCCCTAAGGAGGCGGCCGAGTTGCTGGAGAAGAAGCGCAAGATGGCCAATGCCCTATGCGCCGTGGCGGAGATCTACATGACCGATCTTTCGTAAGTTGATTC